CTACTTGGAACAAGCTTGGCAAAGCACAGGGACCACAGTTCGATCCCCCAGCACCACATGCCAGCCAGCCTCACCCCCTAGAGGGCTGAGCTGGCCACACACACACACACACACACACACACACACAAAATAAATAAATAAATAAATAAATGTTAAAAAAAAAAACAAAACTGTGAGATTACAGGCACACGCCAGCACACCGAATGTCAATCACTGTCTGTGTGCCCTGGGAGCAGGGCCAGCATAGCACAACCCTGGTCCTGGTCCCTGCATCTGCATAAGCAGGCACTGTAATCCACTGAGCTATCTGACCAGCCCTCAAAAAAATTTTTTTAATTAAAAAAAAAAAAAGCTGGGTATGGTATATATACCTGTCAGAATGTGGGAAGCTGAAGCAGGAGGATCCTTGTAAATTTGAGATCAGCCTGGGTTACAACATGAGCTCAACATGAGCCTGAACTGCATAGCTACACCGTTTCAAAAAGATAAAATAAATAAAAAAAAATTTTAAAGAACTAAAAGTGATATATACAAATTAGTAACTTGCTAGGTTATAATTAATTCACAGTAACATGGTCCATCTGCAAACAGAAGCACACATCTCCTTAACACATTATTTTATTATCACTCTTATATTTTGACATTTATAATTACTTTGCAATACAGGTTTTATGTCCCTTACCTAAAAGCTTGAGATCAAAAGTGTTTCCAGATTTGGAAAAATTGCACAGACTACCATAAGTATCCCTAAATTTGAAAATCTAAAATTCAAAATGCTCCAAAATCTGAAAACTTTTCAGCATCAATATGCCTTGTACTGTGTAAACCTACAGATTTTATGAGACGAAATGTTCCTGAAGCCTGTTCAGAGGGCCAGGGAGATGGCTCAGTAGAATAAGTGCTTGCCTGGCAAGCACAAGGGCCTGAATTCAATCCCTAGTCCCCCCAGCCAAAAAAAGTCTGTTTAGAGAACAGAGGTGAACACTTTTTCATGAAGGAACGCCAGCTTCTCTGAGCGAGTTCGTTTCAAGAGTGGGAACCACTCCCAGTGGGGCAATTCGATCACTCGATACCCAAGCCGAACCAGCTGCCGCCGCTTCATGCTATGTAGTCCAAGTAGATTCCTTGTACCATAGCAATACTGGTTCCTATGTGTGAACTGAATAGCCAGCTTCACTGGTAGGGCCTGCATATGGGCTGGGGGACACAAACCAGCCATGTCAACAGCCCCTGGCTTATTTGTCACAAGAAAGCTACCCATTGGTATGGCTGCTTTCTCCAACATTATGGGCCACTGCCCAGTCTCTGACTCAGTTTCTGTCTGAAAATGCCTTTTTGCTTTCCCTTTTAGCAACTGATTCATCAAATCATCTGTAAGGCTGACTCCCACACGTTTAAGCTTTAACATGACCTTGTCTTCAGCTGGTATGGCTTCTCTATTAAATGGTATTGCATTCATGTTAACATCAAGCCACACCTCTAAGTCAGAAGATCGTGTATGAGGTAAAATCATATGATGCTTGATATACTGGGGGCCACCCAACATGGTCTCAAGAAAAGAGAGAGCTTCTAGGAATTCAGGCTTAGAGTTCATATCCTTCCTTGCTAAATCCCACAGATTTGCAGATGCCTCTTGTTGAAGGTGAGAACTAAGACGATTGCCTTTGTAATCTGGACATTCAATGCCGACTGCACCATCAAGAGTGTATAGCTCCTTAGTAAGTTCAAATTTAGATCTGTCTTGAGCTAACCTGACAAACTCTGGACTCAGCGCAACATTGATGAGCTCTGCTGGAAAGTATCCAGAAAATGCCAGACCTAACAGACAGGTAAACAGATGTTCTGGGTATTGGTTGAATTCAGGCAACTTTCTGTGAATTTCATTTATCAAGCTGGAATAAAATTCTTCTGTGTTGGGTGGCTTATAATTCAGAGTTCCAAATGACCACAGAATTTTGGCAACATCTTTACTTCGACAGTGTGCTACCCGAGGAGGCAAAGAGGCAGCCACAGCATTCATTATACCTTCATCCAACATGCGTAAGGATGAGCATGCAAGAGTTAAGTGCATGACACCCTGAACCCCCAGGGAAGGAATTCTCTGAGGTGCAATCTCTACAAACTGCTTCATGAAATTTGCATGATCCACGTGAGTGAAACGGAACATTTTAAGAATATGCACTAAGGCATGACTACTCAGATGGTGCATGTCTGCACAAGCCAAATCTCCAATTTTCCGCATAGCAAATTCAGAGAGACTACTACTTGACTTAAAGAAGCCCAAACAGATTGTACCAAGTTCCTCTAAATTGATCAAGTCGAAATACTTAAGGATCAGTGATTCCAGTTTTTGCATTAAGTCCTGTGGTACCTGACGACTTTCACCTATAATATAAATTAAATGAACCAACTGGGACAAAGATAGATCTTTCCAGTGCAAATTAAGGTAACTAAAAAAAATTTTTAAGAACCGCGGTGCTTTCCGGCCTAAGTGCCTCCAGAGGTCAGCCACCAAGAGAAGCTGGTCCAGACTCATCTCCCATACCTGATGGCCGAATCTGGTTTCATATACATCCAGCATTGGGTGGGAATAAGGGATTTCTAAATTGACCAAAGCTTTAAAAATACTGATCAGATCTGGGATATCAAAGAGTTTTATGTTTTTCACACTCAGCTGGCAGAGCAGTGCAAAGCTGGCATTCAAGAGCAAAATGGGACACTGCTCTGCAGGCAAAGAGCTCAGCTTACAGAAATAATCAACAATGGTTTGAGGCTGGAGGTTATTTTGACTCACTCTGACTTTGTGTAAAATCAGTTCACTTTCTGAAACAGACAGAGGCTGACAAGTCTCTGATTTGTTATAGCTGTGAAGCTTATACTCTGGCCTGAGCTGAAGGAAAACTCGAGTGTCTTTAAAGGTATCAAAAACTTCTACATCTTCTTCATCAGCTCTCATGTTCCTGGGCTGCAATGTGCTGGTCTTCGAGGTAGAAGCCTTGTGGAATCCCAAGTCCAAAAGGGCACTGTTGATTATGAGAACTCTCTGAGAGGAGATGGTGCCATCGATGTTCTTCACTCTTCTGGCAGGATGGCAGGAGCCACTGTGCTTTGGATGGTCCAGTCCCCTGTACCACCTGCTGCTTCCCATATTCCAACGAAGCATACTTTGGGTTGCCCCGTAGGCAACAGGACTGCAAAATGTGTGACATTTTAAAGGTTTTAATAACTTGAGAGTGGCTGCCATTCTGTCAGTACTGCTCTTTTTTGCAGTGAGAGCACAGTCCTCACATGTGTGACCAGGCAATTTCTTGTTTACATGGTGCTTGATTAGAGCTGGACAAGGAGATGTTCCACAGAAACTGCCTGGACATCTTCGGCATATCACAAGAGCCATGGATGACAAATGACTGGGCCAGAATTGGTGCCAGATACTGAAAAAAGGGTAGATGAAGAATGAGTGGCTTCCACCTATCACATCAAAATTTTCACATTTTAAGAAATAAGATTCAAACTACTCTAGTATCCACTCAAATTAGTTTAATGCTACTGAATGCCCAAATCACAAAACATGAATGCCCAAATCACAAAACAGCATGTCTGAGGATAAACTCCGTGTCTCACAGAAGGCCACAGGAAGACCCCCAAATCCAGGGATCACTGGTAATTTCTAGACTGCTGTTCAGTCCAATCTTCCTTGAAGAAAGGTAGCAATGATGGTTAAAAAGATATAATTTGCTCTCCGAACATTCAACAGAATGAGGAGGGCAACGCATGTAAAAGTATACATTGGTTTTTTGCTTTGTTTTTGTACTGAGGATCAAAGTCAGCACCTGGGGGCTCTGTGGGATAGCTCAGTTATTTAAAGCACCGCTTGGGCAAATGCAGTCTGACACATAGGACCATGGTTCGAGTGCCAGCTCCAGAAGCTGCACCAGACCTGCCTTTAAGGCTGCCTGAAGTAGCCAAAAATTTTTTTTTTAAAAAACAGCTCAAATTTTTGGCTGGCCAAATAGCTCAGCTGATTAAAGTGCCTACAAGCAGGCGCAAGGGCAAGGGTTTCATCTCAGGGCCTGCCATGCTGGCCCTGCCCCCAGGGCACACTGAGACAGTAATTGAGACTGGGTGTGGTGGCACCCAACTGTAATCCCAGCTCTTGGGAGACTGTAAACAGATGGATCACTACAAGTCCAACCTAGTTGTGAGACTCTGAACACCCTATAGACCCTTCCCTAAAAAATACAAAAAAAAAAAAAAAAAAACCCAAGAACCTGTGCTTGCCAGACAGGCACTCGTGCTTCTGAGCCATACTCCAGGCCCCATACACTGATTTAATATAATTGTCTTACGTCTTAAGTGTTTTAACTTTTTGGCCTACTTGTCCAGCTGTCAATCTGTCTTTATGAAAATTAACTTAATAAAGAGTTATAAAATAAATAAATGAATCTGATGCTGACAAAAAATAAACGGGTAGAAGGGGAGGGGAAAAAAAGAAGAGATGTGTTAGGTATATGTACCAATTCTTTACAATGAATCGAACCATTATGTAGTACAAACATGTACTAAAAACAAACAAAACAAAACAAAACAAAACAAAACAAAACAAAAAAAACCAGGATGAGGTGGGCAAATTTCCAAAGAGAAACCCAGGAATAAGACTGAACAATCTGCTGGGGATATAGCTCAGTGGCATAAGTCCTGGCCTAACAAGAGCAAGGTCCAAGTTTGATCCCCAGTGCTGCAAAAAAATAAAAGTGAACAATTCATTCTAGCTCCTTCATATCAAGACATAAAGCTCATATGTGGAGAATGAAGAAGTTTGTAGTTGCACAAAGAACAAAGTAGAACTTGGTATAAGGTCTAACTAATGTCACCCTAGTAATTCACCCAGTTCTTACAGTACTAACTTTTAATTATGGAATTCTGTTATTCTAACACTGTTTCTATACCTTTTACAAGATGCTGACTGTTCTCTCCAGGGGCTTTTAACAGAATCTAAATCAGTACTTCAGACTATCCATGCAGTTAGGAAGTATCCTCAGAAACTCCGTCATGTTGGGCTGAGAGTATAGCTAAGTGGCAAAGAACCAGCCTAGCATGAATTACACCCTGGGTACAATCCCAGGCACTGCAAAACAAAGAAACACACCAAAAAAACACCATTACAACCAAAAACTTAAAAGCTTACTCATATTGGTAGGAGAAAGTAGAAGGCCAAGCAAGGTCTCGCTCACTGTCAATTCATGGGCAGGGAGCAAAGAACTACTCAAAGCTGGGCTCCAGGTTCAGCAGCATGAGTATCATGCACACCACTATTTTGTTGACACACTAGGGGGACCATGCAGCTTATTAGCAATGCTTCCACTGAGTTAGTTGTCATGGTATCTTCATTCTGTGTCCAAACAACATCACTCCCATTTTCCCCTGGTACAGATCATGAAAGGCTGTGAACTGACTGCTATACTCCTGCCTTCCTCAATTTTGGTTCTTTTTTTTTTTTTTTTTTTTAAATTTAGCACAGGGTCTACAGGGTCTCACTACAGAGATCAGACTTTTAGTGATTCTCCTGTTTTCAGCCTCCCAAGTATTGGGATTACAGGTGCACACCACCACACCTAGTCTCAGCCCCAGGGGTGGAGCCGGCATGGCACACCAGGGATTGAACCCTGGCCACTGTGCTCTGCCTAAGCAGGCGCTTTAGTTCACTGAGCTATCTGGACAGCCCTTCTTCCTCTATTTTTATTCTGTCTTTCCATTTAAGTGCCAAAGCCTGACAAGCAAAACCAGAGGAGACCTAAGCCACCAATGACAGACTGGGATTCGGGAAGGGGGGACAGGAATGACTTACGAGGTTCTAGGGCCAGGGAGATGGCTCAGTGGAATAAGCACTTCACTGGCAAGTGCAAGGGCCTGAGTTAAATCCCTGGTTCCGCAAAAAAAATAAAAAAAAACAAACAGAAAAAAAAGACAGGGTTCAATCCTCAGCACCACCAAAATCAAAAAATAAAATAAAACAAAAAATTATATGCTTCCAAATAGTCACTAGGTTAGACAAGATATCATGTCTGCATCTTGTCCTCTGCATAACTACTAAGAAGACAACAATATGCAATGTATTAATTATTGTAACTGTCCTAACCTGTTTTCAAACTGTTTCACTGCTAGTTTATCTTTTTTCCTCATTAAAATGAATAAAATAAAAATAAATAAAATTCAGAAATCCTAAAAAAAATAGTCACTAGGAATCTCAACACACTAGCACAAGCAGGATACCAATAAAAGAGAAAGTAGGTAACAAAATGCTCCAACTATAGTTTTTAAGAGAACCTGCTTTGAACTATGGAACTTAAATTCAGTCTAACATGCAACTATCTCATTCGGCAAGCCAGATCTTATGAAATAATTTGATCATTTCTTGTTTTTGTTTTGCTTTTCAGTAGTAGAGACTGAACCCAGGGCCTCTGCACTAGATTATATCCCCGCCCTTTTTAGATTTTTCTATTTTGAAATAGAATATTACTACATTGCCCAATGTGGGCTTAACCTACAGTCATCCTGTCTCAGCCTCCCACAGTGGTGAAATTATAGGTGTGAAACACTACACCTAGCTGGAAATAACTTTTAAAGCCTATTATAGGGGCTGGGGAGATAGCTCAGTATGATCAGCACTTGCCTGGCAAGTGCAAGGGCCTGAGTTCAATCCCCGGTTTCACAAAAAAAAACCAAACAATTATTTACAAAATGGATGTACTATACCCTAAAACAATAGTGTTCTACTTAAATGTTCATCCAATAAAACAGGCTGGTTTACAGGGATATAAATGTTGCAAACATTAGGACATGAAAACGTGTATGTAAGTCTTCAAAACAAGAGTTTACAAACAAGTGCCATCACCTAAAATACACATTTAAAAAAAAAAAAAAAAAAAAGAGTGGATGTGATGGTGCACACCTATAATCCTAGTACTTGGGAGGTGGAGGCAGGAGGACTGCCCTGAGCTTGAGCATCCTGAGCTCAAGCTTGAGATACACAGTGAGTTCAGGACCAGCCTGAACTACAGAGTGAAACCCTGTCTCAAAAGAACAAATAACAACAACAAAAAAGAACAAACAAATGAAAAGGGAAATTAACTGCATAGCTTCTTTGTGGAAAGACTTCCTGTTTTCTTTGATGAACTAACTTTTCCTGTCTTTTTGGGAGCTTAGAACTATTAACAAAGATGAGTATATAAATTAACAAATACCACTATATAATTATCTAAATTAATTCTAACAAATTAATAAAATTAGTGTACATGGTCCTGTAATAAAACTGTCTAGAACATCAGTGTTTGGTGTAGAGCCATTATTTTGAATTGAGGTGGCCTTTTTTTATATGTGTATGTGTGCAGGGCCTCACTATGCAGCTCAGACTTGTAGCGATCCTCCTGTTTTCAGCCTCCCTAGTGCTGGGATTATAGGCATACGCCACTATGCCTGGACTCCATAGCTGGCTCAGCTCACCCAGGGGCAGGGCCAGCATGGCATACAATGCCAGGGATCAAACCCTGGCCAACATGCTTGTCTAAGCTAACAGTCCACTGAGCTGTCTTGCCAGTCCTTGAGGTAGCTTTTTAATTTTTGAAAATACAGGCCAAAGGTGGGCATGGGGGCACATGCTTATAACCCAGGCACTCAAGATGTTAGACAGTAGAATCATGAGTTTAAGGCCTGCTTGTGCTACATAGTCAGTTCAAGACCCATCTGGATTACCTAGCAAAAAACCCTGTCTCAAAGAATATATAAACACAGGGCCAAGAACAAGCATAATGATGTACACTTGCAATTCTAACTACTCAAGAGTCTATAACAGGAACATAGGGGCTGGTGAGATGGCTCAGTGGTTTAGAGCACCTACTTAGAACAAGCTTAGCAAAGCCCAGGGACCACGGTTCAATCCCCCAGCCGCCACATGCCAGCCAGCCCGCCCCCTGGTGGGCTGAGCTGGCCACACACACACACACACACACACACACATAAGGGATTCGGGAAGGGGGGACAGGAATGACTTACGAGGTTCTAGGGCCAGGGAGATGGCTCAGTGGTCTAAAGCACCTACTTAGAACAAGCTAAGCTAAGCAAAGCACAGGGACCGCGGTTCAATCCCCCAGCACCACATGCCAGCCAGCTCCGCCCCTGGTGGGCTGAACTGGCCACACACAAACACACACACACACACACACAAAATAAATAAATATACAAATAAATAAAAATAAAAATTAAAAAAAGGGGGGCAGCCAAATAGCTCAGTGGATTAAAGTGCCTGCAAGCAGGCACAGGGGCCAGGGATTCGACCCTCAGGCCTGCCATGCTGGTCCTGCCCCTGGGGCATGCTAAGACCGCAACTGAGACTGGGCATGGAGGCACATGCCTGGAATCCCAGCTCTTGGGAGGCTGTAAACAGGAGAATCACTATGAGTCTGATCTAGTAGTGAGACCCTAAACACCTGTAGACCCTTCTTTAGAATTTAAAAAAAAAATTAAAAATTTTAAAAAAGAAAGGGGGAGGGCTGGAGAGATGGCTCAGTGGTCTAAAGCACCTACTTAGAACAAGCTAAGCTAAGCAAAGCACAGGGACCGCGGTTCAATCCCCCAGCACCACATGCCAGCCAGCTCCGCCCCTGGTGGGCTGAACTGGCCACACACAAAATAAATAAATATACAAATAAATAAAAATAAAAATTAAAAAAAGGGGGGCAGCCAAATAGCTCAGTGGATTAAAGTGCCTGCAAGCAGGCACAGGGGCCAGGGATTCGACCCTCAGGCCTGCCATGCTGGTCCTGCCCCTGGGGCATGCTAAGACCGCAACTGAGACTGGGCATGGAGGCACATGCCTGGAATCCCAGCTCTTGGGAGGCTGTAAACAGGAGAATCACTATGAGTCTGATCTAGTAGTGAGACCCTAAACACCTGTAGACCCTTCTTTAGAATTTAAAAAAAAAATTAAAAATTTTAAAAAAGAAAGGGGGAGGGCTGGAGAGATGGCTCAGTGGTCTAAAGCACCTACTTGGAACAAGCTTGGCAAAGCACAGGGACCGCGGTTCGATCCCCCAGCACCACATGCCAGCCAGCTGCGCCCCCTGGTGGGCTGAGCTGGCCACACACACACACACACACACACACACACACACACAATAAATAAATGTAAAAAGAAAGGGGGAAAAAAAAAAAAAGAAAGAAAGGGGGGCCGGGGAGATGGCTCAGTGGAATAAGTGCTTCCCTGGCAAGCGCAAGGGCCTGAATTCAATCCCCAGTTCCACCAAAAAAAAGAAAAAAAAAGAAAGTAAGTAAGTAAGTGCAGGGATTATAGGGATGTGCTACCATGCCCAGCTATAAGGCTCAGAGTCTTGTACAAGCTGGTTTTTGGTTTTTGGGGTTTTTTTTTTTTGGCAGAAACGGGGATTGAACTCAGGCCCTTGCACTTGCCAGGGAAGTGCTTTATTCTACTGAGTCATCTCCCCGGCCCCTACAAGCTGTTTTATCTGCATTAGTTCTTATTCTTACAATCTTTCTATAATATAAGCTTATTAGCTCCATATTATTTATAAACAGAATTTATAAGGTAAAGATACCTGCCACAGATTACATAGCCAAAGGACTAAGGAGGGCTTAATATTGAAGACTGTCTGATTCTAAAATCCACATTACTGGCATATAAAGACAAGAATGGGAGTCAGGAAACACAGGACCAGACCTGGGGTGAAGAGTACAGGTAACTGATTTATGGTCTTCTCAGGGTTCCAGGGGCAGGCAGTTGAAGGCTAAAAAACAGGCTATGCAAAAAAAACCCTCCCAAGAACACTTATGTAAGCCTGTAATCCCAGTACTTAGGGAGCTGAAACAGGAATACTGCAAATTCAAGGGAGATCTCAATTAGAGAGAGACCTGGTCTCAAAAATAAACAACTAAAGTCCTTCCTACTTCTAGTAATTTAGTTTTCTAGGATTTGCTATAGCTACACTATTTACCAAAAAAAAAAAAAAAAAAAAAAAAAGAAGAAGAAGACTGAAATCCTCATGAAGGCATGGATTTTTGCAGGATGTCCCAGGATCACAGCAAAGAGAGTTACCCCAATGTAAGACCTGAAAACTGGCAGGAGGGGATACATCATGCAAAAGTTAGGGTTCAACACAGAAGATAAGCAAAGGAAAGGAAGATACCTTCACAAAAGCTGTGAGCAGATGTGAAGAGCAACCACAGTTCTCTTCCAGTTCATACAGGAAGTACCTGGGAGGAAAGAATTACAGTTCTAATGGATAATTTGGGGACAAATGATTGATAAAAATCAAACCAATAACAAAAATAACTCCAGGAAGACAAAAAATTATACAAGATAGAAAATGTCATATTATACTCCCTGCTCACATGTTAAAAAACATTTACATTATTTTATTAATTTATTAAGTTATTTATTTAATTTATTTATTTTGGCAGAACTGGGGATTGAACTCAGGCCCTTGCACTTGCCAGGGAAGCACTTATTCCACTGAGCCATCTCCCCAGCCCCCTATTTTATTAATATAAACTTGGAGCAATAACTTTGCTAAAAATTATGAGCAAGCTATATTGGAAAGATATAGGAAGAAGTAAGCTAAGAGGGACTAGGGCATGATAAGATACCCAGGGCCTCCAGTTTACATGGTAGCACACATGCCTATAATCTCAGGACTCTGTTAGACTGAGGCAAATGGTTCACAGATCTGACCCCAGCACGGGCAACTCAACGCAGAGATAACCCTGCCTCAACATTAAAAAGGGGGCTGGGGGCTGGTGAGATGGCTCAGTGGTCTAAAGCACCTACTTAGAACAAGCTTAGCAGAGCACAGGGACCGCGGTTCAATCCCCCAGCACCACATGCCAGCCAGCCCCGCCCCCTGGTGGGCTGAGCTGGCCATACACACAAATTAATAAATTAATAAATAAATAAAAGTTTAAAAAAAAAAAAAAGGGCCTAGACTGGGTGTGGTGGCACACACCTATAATCCCAACACTTGGGAGGCTATAAACAGGAGGATCACTAAGAGTCTAATCTACATAGTGAGAGCCTATAGACCCTATACTAAATACATTTTTTTAAAAAATTGAATTAACATTAAAAAGGGCTTAAGATGTACAGTAGCTCGGTGTGAAAGATTTGAGTTCAATCCCCAGTATCAGAAGAGATTGAGGCAGGGGGTTTGTCTAGTGCCTCAAAAATCTACAATAAGGAAGTCAAAAAGATATATTTATCTATCTTAGAAATCAGGAAATATCAGTATGAGATGAGATTGGGGATGTAGCTCAGTAATAGAGTACTTGTTTAACATACACAATGCTCTGGGTTTGATCACCAGCACTGCAGAACAACCTTCAAAACTTACAGTCCCGATTACTCAGGACAGAGGCAGGACTGTTTGATGCAGGAATTCAAGAACAGCCTGGGCAACACAGTGAGATCCTATCTCCATAAAACAAAAGGAAGAAATACTGGTAATAACATAAATGAGTTATTTAGAAGTGGCAAAAGAAATACTCAAAGAGCTTCTGGAGGGGCTGGGGAGATGGCTCGGTGGTCTAGAGCACCTACTTGGGGCAGGCTTGGCGAAGCACAGGGACCGCGGTTCGATCCCCAGCACCACATGCCAGCCAGACCTGCCCCCTGGTGGGCTGAGCTGGCCACACACACACACAATAAATAAATGTAATAAATAAAAAT